CGGCCCGCAGCCTGCCCTCCTGGCCGGTCCGGCCCCGTGCCTGCCACCCGAGCCGCCGCCGCCGCCAGCAGCACAAGCAGCAGCGGCCGCCGCGGCTCTTCTCGAACCTGCACATTCCTCTCCTCCCAGCGCGCGCGCCCCCTCCTCCCGCTCGCGCTCCTCCACCAGCTGACTCCGAAGGAGAGGATGACCTCATCCCTCTCTTCCAGCTGCCGCCGCTCCCACCGGCTCGGGCGGGGCGGGCTGGAGGAGGGGCGTGTGAGGGCGGGTCGGCCGGTTTGAACAGCGAGAGCTCTCTTCACCGGGTCTGGGAGAGCTGATGCTTCTGGCCAACCTAGTAGAGGAAAGGAGGAAAAGATAGGTCCCCACCTGGAGATCGCGCCCAGGACGAAGGGGAGCGCATAGGGGCGTGTGTGGTGGCGGTGGGGTACGGCCGCACAGGCCTCTTTGTAGCTCTTGGAGTCGGCAGCACCTGGGTAGGGCCAGGCAAGCGCGCTCGGGAGACTGGAGTGTAATGCGCGCGGATGCTTAAGTGGGTGTGCGCCCGGCCTTGCGAACGCGATAGAGGAAGACGGCACACGGTGCACAGCCACGAAGCTCCGAGCCCGAACCCTCGGGGAAAAGAGTGGGGAGCTGGGTACTAGAACCGGGGCGGCGGGAAAGCGATGCTCTCCTTGACCCAGGCCCCCATCTCCCCGGCTTGTCGCTGTCCACGCCCGAAACCAATCGAGCGGGGTGGAGTGGCCTCCAAGCGAGCCCGTTCTGGGCTCGCTGCGCTTCCTCCGCAGGTGAGGAGCTTTGCGCCCTGCTGGCGGCTGCGCGCGCAGAGGGCGGGGCTCACAGCCGCGGGAAACTGAGTCCTGGTTTGTCCTCCTGCCCTCCCGCAGGCCTAGCAGCCAAAACCTCTCTCATCTCGGAAAATCAAGAATGGTCTTTTCTTAAAGCTATAGAGATTGCAGAATGTACATGTGTGGTCCCATAACTCCAGAAAGAATCAATTAAATTGGTGCTTGGAGTGGTTCAACAAATTGCATACAAAGAGAATAGAACATGTTTCCAGGTTTGAAAGATTCTTCAAAATAAAATGGTATTGTTATTACGTGTCCTTGAATGGATTCGACTCATACAGACCCTGTATACAACAGAACAAAACACTGCCAGACTCTACACCACCCCAGCAATCACGCTGTTTGAGCCCATTGTTGCAGTTGCAGCCCCTGTATCAATTCATCTGGAATGTCTCCTTTTTTTATCCACTGACCCTCTGCCAAGCATGATGTCCTTCTCCAGCAATTGGTCCCTCCTGATAACATGCCCAAAGTACTTGTGACAAAGTCTCCCCATCCTCCTTTGTAAGGAGCATTTCTGGGAGTACTTCTTCCAAAACAGATTTGCTTGTTCTTCTGGCAGCCCCATGGCATATTCAATATTCTTCACCAACACCATAATTCTGAGGCATCAATTCTTCGGTCCTCTTTATTCATTGTTCACTTTTTGCATGCATATGAGATGATTCAAAATACCATGGCTTGGGTAAGTTGCATCTTAAAATTGACATCTTTGCTTCACTTTCAGCAAGTAAGTTTGTGTCATCTGCATATTGCTATACCAGTACAGCAAAGGAGCCCTTATAGTATAGTGGATTACAAACTGGACTGCTAACTGCAAAATCAGTAGTTCGAATCTACCAGTCACTCCACGGGAGACAGATGAGGTTTTCTTCTCCTGTAAAGGTTTACAGCATTGGAAATCCTATACAGTGTTGGTTTGAGTCAGAACCAACTTGGAGCACAAAACCACCACCAACATCACCACCATAGTACAGCAAATTGACAGCCAAGTGGTAGAATCAAATATTGGCTTTTCATTTAAAACTAACCATTGGAAAACCAACCTTTTGCTTTTGTCCCAATTAACTTTTGCAAATGTAGAAAGCAGAGGATGTAATTCTTAAATTATACTGTGACTCGCATATTGTGAGATCAGAGAGGAAAGTAAGACAAGACAACTTTACACTGCACAGTTTACCTTCTTCTAAATCTGGAGACAAAGTTTAACATTTCTTGCCTCCCTTCTCCCCCCTCAGGTGCCAGACTGAGTTCAAACCAATGCATTGCCCCATTCTTAGTAACTCTGAGTAATAAATTTCACTGCACTGTAGAGGTATTTGCAGGAGAAAGATGACTTGTTCTGCTCCTGCAAGGATTTACAACCTTGATAACCCAAAGAAACAGTTCTAGTCTGTCTTATAGGGTCATTATGAGTCAGAATTACCAGCTGTTCCGCAGGCGAAAGATGAGGCTTTCTGCTCTCATAAAGATTTACAGCCTTGGAAACCCTGTACAGGGTCACTATGAGTCAGAACCGACTCCATGGCACATAACAACAACAACAACAATGAGTCAGAATTGGCTTGAGGGTAGTAGATTTAGTTTGGGGTATAGTCCCATCTAAGGAGTCCTGGTTGCATAGTGGCTAAAGTGCTCAGTTACTAATCGAAAGGTCAGCAGTTTAAATCCACCAACAGGAGAAAGATGTGACAGTCTGCTCCTGTAAAGGTTACAGCCCTGGAAAAACTATGGGCAGCTCTACTCTTTCCTACAGGGTGGCAAAGTCAGAATCAACTTGGCAGCCCCATTGGGCTTTGGCTAGACATATCCACTGAAAACAGCTGATTGTAAGCACCATCAGCTGTTTTTCCATAAGCCTGGACAAAGTGAGATCTAGCCCAACCTCTAGACACGTGATCTTTAGTCTGTAAGACGGATGTTTAGGATTCTGTCTTATTTGACTTTTGACTGACATTATGGTAGAAAGATGTTAGGCACAGAACCAGAAACAATTAAATAAGCTTGTACACATCCAACATTTCTAGCAAACATCTTGGTTGCAATGGTGACAAAGAGACAAGGCAAGACCATAAGAGCCAATTAGATACCAGGCAGGGAGTCCATTTTTAAAACTATTTTTAAAATTGGACCCTCTTGCAGTAGGAAAATCCCTTTTGGAAAACACCTTGGCACTATTTCCCAAGGGTCCAAATCTAAGATACCATCTCCAGAGTGCTATTGCTGATCTTAGTTTGTGCCAAACCATTAGGGAAAGGAATGATCTCTTAGGTAACCGGGTCCTAGGAGACAGAGTGTATTCTAGGTCAAATGCAATGTGTTAAATTGCACCATGGCATGAAAAGGCCCAGCACATCTGAGATTCTGAACTCCTGGAGCTGACTGAGGTTCCTTAGCATCAGGGATGTTTCTTATACAATTTATCTTCTGCAGTCAGCACAGTGTCTGCACAGACTATTTGTTCAATAAATATTATTTGAATGAATGCATGAATTTATAGAAAGAACATTCCACAACAGGAAGAATGCTACATTCTGTGCTAAGTAATGTTCCCATGGAAACATAGGAATTATGAGACTTATCTTGTTAGGTTCTTTTTTCAAAAAATCACTACTGATGATTTTCTAATTAATATGTTTACTCAAAACTTTTTAGATTCTCTTGAAAATTTATGCCCAAACCATGTCTTTAGGAAGTAATGGTGATCAGAGGACCAATGTTCACCTCTAAGCTCTGGTACTTTCTGGGTGCAGGAATTTTTTAGACTACTTGCTACACAGGATTAGCATTAGGATTTGATGAGATAATGTGTTTAACTGGGCTTTGTATACAATGTGTGTTCAAGAGCTAATCCAGTAAATCTCCTTCTCACATCTCAGGATGTAGGTTTTAATATTATAGTGAAACTTATGTGAACTAGAACTTGACAGGTCTGCCTTGTTTTTCCTGTTCTCAAAAGTTTTCTACCTTTGACAGAGTGTAGACGCACCGTTCTTCTATCTCTTGGTTTAGTGGGAAATATTTTCATTTTCCTTCTCTAACAGGTTTCCAGTGCACACAGGTTCCATCTTTTGAAGGTTATATTATTGATCCTTTATCATTATCACTGCTCCTATCCAGGAGAGACACATCATAGTTAAGAACTCAGAGCTTAACCTCAGACAGAGGTGTCCATGGATGGGCATGTTATTTAACCTCCTTGCTCCCTCATGTTCATCATTTGTAAAATGGAGACAGTGTCAGTCTCTAGTGTTGTTGCAAGAAATAAATAAAATGATACATACAAAATACTCAGCACACTCAATGCACAACATTCTATTATATCATTCACTTTCTTCCAGCCCCCTCCTATTTTCTGACTTAGCTTTAAACCTTATGTTTAGCTAGTCAACCTTCCCTAATTGTTGGGTTTGTTATTACTTCTTTTCTTATCTCAAACTTTAATGCCTCCTTTTCCATCCCTACTCTCAGCTGAAGATTCTGATTCCTATTTAACCAAGAAAAATGAAGCAATCATAACAAAATCCACACCAGCTTCAGCACCTCATCTGCCCAAGCACCATGTACTCTGCCTCCTGCCACTACTCAGCTCTCCTCCATGTGTACATCAGCCCCTACCCCTTCTCTCAGACACAATTACACTAAGGCCATAATCATCAGTTTTACCTCTCTGCTGGATTATTCCCATCAGCATACAAACATGACCCAATTTATTCACAAGTGAAAAAAAAAAAAAAGCCAACATAAACCTTTTTTCATTCTAATTTCTTTTCCAGGAGTCACTGCATTTCTTTGAGCTCTTTACAGCAAAGTTCCTCTAAAGCATTGTCTAACTCATCTTTCTTCAAT